CCCGCGTGGAGGCCGTCCCATCCCCGGGCCGGAGAAGGCTGGACCCCGCCGCCGTGAGGCGCGGCGCCCGCCCGGACCCAGCATGTAGTGCCGGGTGGCTGCCATGAACCGCGGCGCCATGAGGATCCACAGCAGAGGGCCGTTCCAGGGTGAGCCCCTCCTCCGCCGGCGCTCGCGCTCCGGGCGCCCACCGTGGGGACGGGGCTGTGGTCGCGGAGTGTGTTTGCTTTCCGTCCCGCAGTGGGGGCAGGTATTTGGGACGCACCCGTAGTTGGTTCCCACCTGGCGCGCAAACAGGAAAACAGACGCGCAGCTCCACTGTTAATCTTTGCATTCGGTAAAACATTTCGGCCTCGCACGTCTTCCGCGTGCCCAGGTAGCCACCAGCTGAAAGGCGGGTTGTGTTCTAAAAGTTTAAAGCAGTGGATTGTATCCCAGGTGTTTTCGGTGAAAATAATGCAAGGGTGACATAGTCCTTAGCGGACCTTTAAGTTCTTAATTGGACTAGAGCAGTCGCCAGCCCTTGAGAACTAAGTCGTTCTCAATACGTTTGCTTGTGTTGCTGAGTGTTTAACATTTTAAGCACCAATTTTGAGCGTTCGGCAGAATACCAGATCCTCGAGAAATAGAGTAAATACCTCCATGGAGTTTACATTTTAAAGGCTTTGAGGAAAGGTTATATATTTCTGTGCCTTACTACATCCTGCTGATTCAGCTGCTAATTTCCAATAAAAAGTAGGGCACTCTGCTTTTATACTAAGTAGTAGTAACAAAATATGGTTTAAATGTTAATAGCTTAAGTTGGTGTAATGATAAGGATTTCTTCCTTCCTGTGATACGATTATTACGTAATTTTTTTTTCCTTTTTTTGGTCTTTTTGAGACAAGGTCTCACTGTACAGTTCAGGCTGGCCTTGAGCTCACTCTGTGGCCCACATTGGCCTCAAACCCGCAAGGATCCTCCTGCCTCAGCCTCCCAAGTGCTAGGATTACAGGCATGAGCCACCATGCCCAGCCAAAGCAGGTTCTATAATTCTGTGCCTTCTGACCATGAGTTTTCTCCCCAGTTCTCTTCTCATCTCTGTGGCCTTTTCTCCATGTCTTTCACTCTCATTTCATCATCTTCTGCTCATTACCTCTTCATTTCACATGCTGTCCAAGGCAATTTCAGTTTCTCCCATAGCTTTACCTATATTCTGTATTAGTGACTCTCAATCTTGTAATAAGCACAAAAATCTTTTGCTCGCCCTGTAGTTTTTATTTTGAAAATAGGTTCTTTTCCCCAAATGCAATTCTAACACCGTACGTGTGCAATGCCTCCCTCCTCACACCTCCACGATCTGTTAACCTCTTCTGCATAATCCATGACTGAGATCAACCAGAACAAAGTCTAAGTGACTTCGCAAAAAATTCCCCCTCCGTCTTTCAGAGCAGCCTCCTGAGTTACAAACATCTCCAACTGTCTAATAAGCAGTTTAATTAATAAACATAGTCCCATGACTGTCATCCCAGTTGCTTCAGCCTAAACTCGTCCAAAACAAAATTCTCATTTCCTTTGTCACACCGGGTCATTTTCTGGGTTTTCCACGTTGTCTAAAGGTGTCACGGCCCCCCCTCGTCCGTAAGATACTCACCTGCACAATGATTAATATCGACTCTGCCGACCCCGAACTACAGTACTAGGTCGGCAATCAACCCCTCCACCGCGCGTGCCCGTTGTGGCCAGGGGTAAAGTGACGCGAAATAGTACAAAAGATTATGCTCTTCTTCAAGCAGATTACGAGCAGAAACAACCAAAAACAACTTTGGCGAGGCATTTTTCCACTCGTAAAACAAAACGGAAATATTTGACAAACCTGTCCACACATACACACACCCCGCAGCCCGGGCCACGGAGCCAGGCCCGCGCGCCCGGACAGCGTACCTGGAGGGCGGCGGCGGGAGCAGGAGCCGCGGACCAGCCGGCAAGGGTGCCCTCGGCGGGGGCGATACTGCGGCCACGGCCCTCGGCCAAGTCC